AGGAAGGAAGGAAGGAAGGAAGGAAGGAAGGAAGGAAGGAAGGAAGGAAGGAAGGAAGGAAGGGAGAAACACTCCAGCAGTTTACACCACTAGCAAGTTTCTGGGTTATATTGTCAGGAGTCCTAGGACCACACTGAGAACCACTTGCATATGGGAAAGGAAAGGCTTTGCAGACAGACACACATCTGTTTCCAAACCTTGATCCTACCATTCTCTAGTTCAATGTGTTGGGACAAGATTTTACGTGGATACTATTATAGAGCTTAGAAGGAGATGGTGTTCTGAGTCCTTTAGAAACATCATCTAATTTAATCAGTGTAACACATGAGGAAGGTACTACAGTCATTCCCTTCATTTTGGAGAGAGCCTGACAGATATTTAGCAATAGCTGTCTGAGAGAACACAGATGTAGTGTCTGCTGATCTTCATGATGCACATACTTCTGCCATGGTGACTTTTCAGCTCCTACTATGACACTGGTGAATGCAGAACTAGGAATAGACACAGAGGGTCACACCACCATATAACAGTACATGGCACCAACAGAAGTAACCCGGAACACAATTCCTATGTGCATCGAAATAACCAGAAAGTCATGGGGAGGGAGCATTGTGTGTGTGTGTGTGTGTGTGTGTGTGTGTGTGTGTGTGTGTGTGTGTGCAGGTGTGTGCCTCTGTTTGTACTCATGCAAAGATCAGAGCAAGACACCACATACCTTCGTCTATTCCTTGCCTCCTTATTGTCCTGAGTCTTGACCTCTTTCTAAACCCAAAGCTGTCTCTTCAGCTAGCTTGTCTAGCCAGAGAGCTCTTGGGATCCACCAGTCTCCAACCCTCCATGCTGGCATTACAGACACACACAGCCATGCCCAGATTTTTATGTGACTGCTGGTGATTCGAACTCAGGGCTTCATGCTTGCAGAGTGAATGTTCTAACCCAGTGAGCTATCTCCATAGTCCACAAAGTCATTCACTTTTATGATTTCTTACCTTTGATTTTCATATAATTTATTCAAATTATAAATTTACATAATTTGATTTTTAATAATGACTATATTCAACAACCAACACTCCCCCCCCAAAAAAAATTCTCTGAAAAATTTAGCAGCTAGTTTTTGCAAGCCAGGATGAGCTGGCTCCAGCATGGCACTGTAAAAGGGAACTGACCCAGTGCATAGTTGAGAACCTTGCCCAAGGACGCACCGACCGCTACTCCAGCACTCAGACTTCAGCACTATGCCCTTCATCCTAACCACCTTCAGCTGAGTTAACAAAATTAAATGGATAACATGAATACACATCCGAGTTTGTTTATTTGCTACCTGACCTTATTTAAACAATGTACACAGAGGGATTCACTTATGAATCAATTCATTAACGCACTTACAGCTCTACTCGCTTTCCATTCACGAAAGCCTTGTGATGTGTAATAGGTTCATTATGGTGCAAAGCCCAAACACAGACAATGTTTGCTAAAGGGATGAATAACTCAAGAATTCATGAGCCATTACTATTTTCACTACTCTCATTAAAATTGATCATATGTTAATGTAAATCAAATCCTGGTCTTTGATGATACAGTGGTATGTGTGAGGGTGTTTTCTAAAGCTAGCTGCTGAAGGTGGAAGTTGAGTTATGTAAGCCTTCAAATCCATCCATACACACATAAAATCAAATATAACCTCACTGCCCGTAATGACTTCAATTAATGGAGAATAGCTAGACACAAAGACGCACCCTTGTAAATCTCTGTTTGATGGTTTAATTCTTCCTTCTGAACAGAGCCTCCGAGGCTGATTGAACTTTAAATGCATGCAAGTGGTCTCCCATAAATGGGACCTTAAACATTTATCAAACTGAAAAACATATAGAAAAATGATCTGCTGGGAAATTATAGATTTTAACTACACATGCAACTTCTATATTGGAGGTGTTCATTTGGCTTAGGGAGTCCCTGGTACCTCACTCTAAGACACTGGTAGGGGTGTCTTCAGCAAAGTAGTCCACCTTCCCCTCATACCTCCCCATCCCTGACAAATCTCTTGGCAGAATTTGGCTGGGTGGGGAGGTGGCCAAACAATGCTGCTGTCTTGATCTTTTTAGTCAAGCCAGATCAATAATCCCACATCTCTAGTCCCCATACCACCACCCACCCTCTCCTGAGAGCAGACTCATAGCTCCATACCAGATGATCTCTCATCTCCTGGGTTAGCTTACGTTGGAGTCTTTGGCTATATTATCCATTTGCAAGAAACCTACTAAGTCAACATCATTATCCCATCCTACAATCAAGGAAAGGGAGGCTGGACACCACTGATATGCTAGAACTAATCAGTCAGTCACAAGATTCTAGACTGATGACCTTGCTGGATACAACCACCTACTATTGAGATCATTGTCCAGGCTAACCCAGGAACAACCTCAGAGGCTTCTGTTACCTCCCATCGTCGGTCATTGGTGAAGATCTCATCACTAGCAAGGTCCAATTGGTTCCACTCCAGCAGAAGTTTCAGTTGTCCATTCCAATTGTCCTTGTCTTGCTCATTAGTGCTGAAGGCTGGAAGTGGGCAGGAAGAAAACCATAGATCAACAGGTCACGCGTAAGGAAGGCAGGCTATTAATATCCTCCAGATATCAGAGCCACCCATCAAAGCAGGTCTCTGGGGATCAGAGGACACTGTCACCTCCTTCTGTTGTCACTCATGCATTGCATATGTCCTGAAGTCTATAATGATCAACCCAGATCTCAATATCTTCCTGTGACATATGAATATAGTGTAACTAGGATATATTGACATTTCTCTGTAGACTGAGACTTCATAGGTATTATATTCCAAAAGTTGTATCTGACTTATCCTGTATCTAAATATACAACATAATTAGCCATGTTAAAACAATGTATTTGTTATGGTTTGAGTGTAAAATGTTCCCTCACAGGCTCCTGTGCTTGAAACCCTAGTCTCTAGCTACTGGCACTGTTCTGAGAGGCTGTGGAGTCTTTAGGAGTCAGGGCTTAGCTTGAGGAAGTGAGCCAAAGGGAGGCATATTTTAGAGGCCCAACTTCTAACCCAATCTCTTTCTTCCCCTTCTCTCCCCACTCTTTTTCTTCCTATCTATCTATCTATCTATCTATCTATCTATCTATCTATCTATCTATCTATCATCTATCTATCATCTATCTATCTATCTATCTATCTATCTATCTATCTATCTATCTATCTATCTATCTATCTTCTCTGTATACTTTGCATTTGTTGGTTAGGTATTTCAATCCAGAAGGCAAAGTTTTGCTATTTATTACAGGTAATCCCACTTTGGTGGAAACCTTTTTTGAGATAGGGTCTCACTATGTAGCTCTGGATTTCCTGGAAGCCAGACCTATGGTCCTATGTAAACCAGACTGGCCTCTGACTCACAGAGATCCACCTGCCTCTGCCTTCCAGATACTGGGATTAAAGGTGTCCACCATCATGCCCCTCTCACTTTGATGGAATTCTAAGAGACAGCAAAGACTAAAGAGAATTGTTTTTCCTAGAGGTCAGTCATAAGCTTCAGGAGATGTGTGAACCCCTGAAGTTGAATGCTAAGTTATTTGTGTGGTGTGTGTATGTGGTACATGAGCATGTGTGCATGTGAAACATGTGTGCACACACTCCTGGAGGTACAGTCTTTACAACATTTTTAAAAGGGGTCTGAGACTCCGAAAGTACTTTAAATTACTGCTAGAAACAGCTTTGCAGAGTACCTTGGTTACACTTGACCAGCCTTTTAGTGACATAAAACTTTTATTCTGTGAAAGACATCCATCTAAGGAAGTTCATCTTCCATATCAGTCATTTGTCCTCCAGGGATGCACTCTCAGGGAACCGACTCCACTCACCTTTGTACAGTGCGTAGGAAATGGCGTTGCTCACAATCTCGTCTCCAGCCTCTTCCATCTTAATAACTGTGAGTAGGTGGGAACACTCAAGGATTTCTTTGAGCTGGTAATATGTCAGGAAGAGTATTGTCAACCAACTGATCTTGAGCATAATGAATATGAATTTTTAATGTACTTCTTATTCCACAATTTCATATATACATGTACAAACAATATACTTTGATCCTAACCTCCTATTACCCTCTCTCCCTCTCTTATTCTCTCCCCCTCCCTCTAAACCCTTCCTTCTTCCCAACAGGCCTCCCTTCTACCGCTTTGAAGTCTGTCTCTCTCTCTCTCTCTCTCTCTCTCTCTCTCTCTCTCTCTCTCTCTCTCTTGTCTTATAAGTAAATGAATGAAGAAGAGGCAACAGAAGACTGTGGAAATCTTCTAAGTGTGGTTGGTCATGAAGTCTGAAACAGGAGAAAGGAATCATTAAGTGACAGACAACAATCAGGAGGACTTGGTGCTAGAGAGATTAATAACTTAGATTATCCTTTTTGAGAGACAAATACATTATCCATTACGATTTTTCTGTGTTTAAATTTGAAACAGATTCTTTAAAAAAAAAAAAAAAAGCATCTAATTCCAAGGCTCCAGGTACTGGCAAGAATGAACTTTTACCTGAAAGAACTTCTCCTTCACCGGGAGGATCAGGCCTGCTTTGGTTAGCTTCAGTTTTAGATGATAGTGATTTCCCTGGCAAAATTTAGACCTGGACCTTCTGTGTCTCTGCTAGGAAAGAGCCAGGGGTCTTGGGGCCTTGCTACAGGAAGGTTGAAAGATGTGGGCTGAGAAAATTCTTGAGCCTGGCTACTAGGAGGTGACCTTTTAAGGCCTCTGCTCCTTGGGAAGGGTGATGATGAAGATTTGGGTTCAGAAGATGCGTACCCAGTGGTGATGGGAGAGCGAAACCGGAGCTTCCGCAAATTACAAATCCTGAGGACTTTGAGGGAGGAACAGAGGAGCAGAGCAAGAAAGACCCTGCACCACGTTTCGTTCAAGCCAAAGGAAAGGAGTCCAGAGAGAAATGATGAGTGAGGAGGCAGATCGAGGGCCCAGGGCTGTGGAGCACCTGCGAAGGGGCAGCCCCATGGGGTAAGACATCTTCGGGTTTGTGATAAAAAGGGAAGAAAAGAGAACAAGCATGGATACTGAGCACAGCTCCAGACCTAGAGAGGGTTCCAAAGACTTCCTAACAGTGCTCCCTCCCACACACCTCATCTCCTCCCATCCTGAGCCTGGCTGCAGCCAGTGCGAGAGTCCCTGAAGGTAAACCAGATCTCATTTTCTCCCTGCTTCTGGGCTTTCAGTGATATCTCATGGCAGCTGACCAAGACCCAAACTTGAAAACAGTGCTCAGAGAGCCGCCTATTCTGGACTCTCGTAAGCACTTCAGGTTCCGCTCACAAATGTATCCCCTCTGCCATCACTCAGTTCTTCAAATGTATTAGCTTCTCACCTCAGGACCCTTGTACATGCTGCTCCCACCATCATGATGCCCATCCTCACTTCATTCACTCTCCATCATTCAGATACTGCTTCCCACATCACTTCATCTGTGAGCTTTCCACAAAGCCCCACACCATAACACACCTATCTCTCTATACATACTGCCTTTCTTCAGAATACCCTGTGATGGCTAACAATGGTTGTCTGCTTGACCGAGTCTAGAACCACCCAGAAAACAAAACTCCAGGCATGTCTATAAGGAACTGTTTAGACTGGGCTGAGGTAAGAAGATCCAGCCTAAATATGGGTGGTACCATTCCATGAGCTGGGGTCGAAGGCTGGATAAAAAGGAAAATGAGAACTGAGTAATGGCATTCATATCTCTCTCTCTCTCTCTCTCTCTCTCTCTCTCTCTCTCTCTCTCTCTCTCTCT